AGCAACAATCTGGTCTGACCAATTTTGCGGCGGCTTTGGTCACAGAAATTGTTAGGCCACCCAGGGTAGCTTGTATAAGTTTCAGTAATTACCACGGGGCAGAAGTCACACATCAACGTTGTGAAAAGAAAGGCTAACCGAACATACTGGCAAAAACTACAAAACTGAAGAGGGGCTCCTGTAATATTAAACTGGGGAAAAGCCGAGTGTTGCTGACTCCGATCTGAGAGGATGCCGACAGAACTTCTCCCATACCATAAAGGAAATGAGAGCTCTTGTAGGAACATCACATCACAACGAGTTATGAACTCAGCTTGTTTTTAAGCGGCATTCTTCGAACTGCTCCTAATGGCCGCAGTTATCGAATAGGCATTCGCCATGTGCAGTCGTAATCAATCGAGCTTGTGCAAGGTTGTCACTCCTTTATTAGGCTCTCGTTTTGGCCTCTTCGCCTCCTCAGACCTCCTGAAAGCCTCAAAGTCCTTGAGTTTAGTCCTCACAAGAAGCAAGGTAATACTCCAGGCAATATCCCGAATCTGGAAAACCATCAAGAATGCGGAGATTCCTCAAGACCTTTCTATGTCTCCGTCGTCATGAAAACCATCCACGAAGCGGCCACCCGTTATAGAATTTAGGGTTAGCACCGTCACCGGAACCCTCTTAAACTTACGGGAGGCCATAACTTATGGAGGCCGAGAAAGGGCGGGTGCTCATGGCAGTAGCCACACACTTTTCCTTTCTATTCCTTTTAGGACTCCTGTAGAAATTCAGAATGCTCCCAGCCCAAATTCAAGTCTCAGTGCAAATTTGTGACTGATATTGCACAGCATAAGTCTACTCATCCACTACTTTGGCAGCATTCCTGCGGTCTTCGCAATCATAATGTGAGGCTCTCAGTCATTTGCAGCGCATTTAAATCACAAACTCATCTGCAGGCCGGGAGTACACCACAAGCTTTCGTGACTGACTGGGTGAGCACGGTTTACCTCCCGCCTAAACACACTGGTGTGCTAACAAGATGTCTCGCAAATTGTGAGCTTTTGACCATTTTCTATGATCTACTATACATTACCGTATTTATCTGAAGATTTTCCATGTGAAGTCTTACTCACGTCTAATTACGTATTATATGGGATATCCCATTCACCTCTGACTTGCAATGTCTCCTTTTTCCACCCGCCCGTCTTTTCTCAGCCATGCATACTCGAGGAGCTCGGCAGCACTAAACTTCTCCATTCTTCTGACCAGTGGATTCTGTTCTAGAGTCTTCTCCTAGAAATCGTATTAGGTCTTATAGTATCTACTGGTTGCCCATAGAGATTTTCTCTATCGTGGCCTTCTTACAATGAATCGTGACCTGCCGGTAAGCATGAAGCCTCTAGAGCTAAGGTCGATCCCCATTCCAGGGCACTAATTGTGAACAAGCCAACACACACGGTGGAGCTCTCTGACCCTAGCACACGCACAAATCGAAATTCGATTGCTCCGCCGGTTCAACGAAAATGAAGAGCTGGCGAAGGGCGTTCCTGAGACGCCCTCCCTACAAAACTTGCGATTTCGAATGGAACACCAACTTCTAAGACTAACATCAATTGTCGTCCAATCCGGCTACTATAATATCATACCCGTAAGTTTGTCCTGTGTGGATGCTGTTGTGTGAATGTCTATCCTGTGGTGTGTGTTTGACCCGGCAAAATTCATAACTTCTTCGGAAACAGTGATAATGCGCTGCAGAATCTGATAGGATCGATTGGTATTACGGTTTGTCCGGAAAGTTCTTAAGCGCTTCATTGGGTCTCGCCTCCGTCTCCACACCTCAACCCTATAAATCGATCATAAACTTTCTTAACACTCATCGGATTCAACCCAAAAAAGCACCATTCGAATCAGCACACTTTTGCCAATGTGGCAGCAGTCGAGAAATCCCATCAAAGAAAAAACTGGGTGGTCGAGAATCCACGAAATCTGCGAAGGTCTTTTTTGCCTGGTCCTGTTTGATGAAGTATTTCTCAGCAGGAAAGTTCTGAAAATGTCTGAAAAGGTGACAGTCGGTTGGTGAAAGGTCTAGAGAATATGGTGGGTGAGGTAGAACTTCAACTCCCAATTGGGGCCGGGGGGCGGGGGGGGGCAGGCCCGCGAGAATCAGAGGAGCGCGGGGGGGGGGGGGCGGGGGGGGGGGCGTCTCAAATTTATGGATAGTGATTTGTGAAACGTGTGGGCGGGCGTTGTCATGCAAAAGAATCGGACCCTTTCTTTTGATAAGTGTTGGCTGCAGCTGACAATATTTTCGGTACATTTGGTCGGTTTGTTCACAGTAGGGTTCTGCTGTGATGGTTTTGGCCTGGTGGAATCGAAAGATTACTAGTGGATTTACGAACAGCCGATGACCTCTGACCAGCACAATTTTTTTTCGGCCGTGAGGTGTCGCTTTGAAAATTACCGCTCGGTGGTTCTCCAAATCCAACGACACTGTCCGGAAACGTCTCTGTTATCATACATGAATCCATTTTTCATCACAGGTGACAAATCCGTTCAAAAACGGGTCAATTCTTTTGCGCAAAAGCAGTGAAGAAGGAACCTCGAGACGTGCCGATTCCTGCCGGTCACTCCGATTGTGGGGCACCCAATTGTCGAGTTTTTTCACCTTCCCAATGCGTTCCAGACCATCTGCAACAGTGGATGCCAAGGCCTAGCTCTTCTGCTATCTCTCGCGAGACGTGTTGTGGGTATGGTCTAACCTTCAAAATCCCCCTAAAATCCTCGTCAGATATTGCTTTAGGTCGACCGCTATGAGGCTCACCTTCAAGGCTGAAATCTCCAGAGCGAAATTTATTGAGCCATTGCCGCACAGTGCTTTCTTTAGCACTATTGGGCCCCACACCTGGTTAATTTGTTGAGCTGTTTCGATTGCGGATTGCCCCAATTTATAGCCGAAGAAAAAAATCGTCCGAAGTGCTCTTTTCACATGCTTGAAAAAATCTTGAAAAAAGAGGGTTTATCAAGCAATGGTGAAACGGCAATTATACCATCAGATAGCGCAAGAAATTCTCTACAGGATGTGCTACTGAGAAGCAAGGCAGAATGAGTTTTTAATCAGCAGTGAATGTACAAAGATTAGGTGCACAAAACGCTAAGAACTTTCCGGACAACCTAATAGAAGGTCGGGCAGGAACATTATTGGTGGGTGGCAGGAAGCGATAGCAGTTGATAAGATACCATAAGGGGCCGTATAAAGGCGAAGTCAGCAAATTCATAACGCGCGTCACAGCAAGACTAGAGCGTTGGTTCCAAGAAGTAAGATAGGAGGCAGGATGGGAACATTATTGGTGGGTGGCAGGAAGTGATAACAGCTGATAAGATACCATAAGGGGCCTCACAAAGGGAGGGTCATCAACTTCATAACATGCGTCACAGCGATGGCAGGACGTTAGTTCCAAGATGAAGATAGGGGGCAAGATGGAAACATTATTGGTGGGTGGCAGGAAGTGATAACAGCTGATAAGACACCGTAGGGGGCCACTTTGGAAACGAAGCCGCCAAAATTCATAGTTGTAACATCACTGGGGAACTGCTTCCAGCAGGTGATTCAGAGGTTGTTAGGGAACATGGTGGGAGATTTTGGTGGTGGTAGATGAATTTTGATAGTGTCCGACAAGGCCTAAGAGTCAGTATCTATCGCATCTTTACTCTGCTTGCGAGTGAACTTGACCACCGTTGCCAAAAAAGATGAAAGATTGTTTACAGCCCTTAGCGAAATCCCTTAGTTCGGCGGTTGAAATTGATTCGACCGCTAAACTCTAGAGTTTCACCCAAAAGTAAAAGCCGAGATGTTTGTCAGTGAGAGATGATAAGAGCCACCAGCAGCGTGGAAGCTGCTCAACGGAAGTACTAGGATGTAAGCACATTTCACTATGATTTCGATATTATTACCATCGAAACTCTTTCAACCGCTAAGCTGTCCTATTTCCAACGAATGGCGAGTGTTGTTAGAAATGTGATAAGCACCAGACATTGTTCATTGAAAAGGTGCAAAAATGATGAAATGGGCCGTATTTCGAAGCATGGGAATTAAGCCAAGTGGTCAGCACAAAAATCCTGTCTGTAATCAGTACCATGGGCTGGACCATGCGCGCAGTAGTGCGCGTCAGTCAAATGGTGTACAACAAAAGGCACATTAGCGAAACAATTATAAAGAGCAAGTCGAGGACTTGTAAAAATCAGGCAAAAATAACCGAAACTTGATAAAAGAGGTCCATTGCTCCGAAAAAGGGTACTACTCGCAAGAAAATCTGACAATATTCTCAATGAAGATATATTCGTCACTCATAAGAGCTCTGCCTTCATAAGAAAACCCGGGGATGTGAAAAAGCACCATTTGACTGCATTTTTTTGTTTTGCGGACGGCATGTTAAGCGCTACGAAGCTTTTGATAGGCACCACGCAACGCCTGATCAGGGCACGGTGCAAGTAGGTACACGAAGTGTGCTTACCCTGTAAACCTAAATAAGTTTTCGCGCTCAATGCCTCTAAATGCCTAGTTTCTCAACGTTACATGTGCCCTTAGAGCGGCTTCTCGAATACAGTCTTCGTAGGCCTGATCTCTCAGGCCGGAGAACCGCAGAAGCGAGTGGAGCGGCGACAGCGTCATGTGAGAACTGTTGACGGTGCGGGACAACTGTCAGTCAAAAATGCCAGAGACACCTTCAGCGCTAGATGGGAGATGTTTCGCTTTCTTTCAAGCCACACCACACCTGAGACATACTGAACTGCACCCGATAGGGTTCACTAGCTTATTCAGTCACTCTTTTCAGTGGCCTATTCCTGATACTTGGTCTCAAATTCGACTTCTGGAAGAGATTACGAGAAAATCGCGGCCTCTAAGAGATTTTCCTTGAAGTCATCAAGTAGTAAGGTCGAGGTTACGCGGACCCTTTCAATTTTGTGTGTCCAGTGCGAGAAGCTCACAAATGGCAATTTTCAGAAATTGCCAAAAAACTGCGATGATCGATATCGAGACTGGACGGACGTTTACATTCGAGGCCTTCAATAAGGAATGCAATCGATACGCAAATTTCTTTCAAGTAACGGGACCGATTGAGTCTATGAGTTTCTTGTGACGATTGTGAGATCA